TCGAGCTATTTTCCCTCATTCCACTCGTCCAGTCCTCTTCACGAACTTGTACAATCGATGCCACAAAGATAACCAACTCTATTATCAAAAAAATAAGGAAAGGAGCGATAATTTGGCATCAGATATCCGGAGGTGTGGAAAGAGCCACTGTGAGAAGCGGAAAAACCATCAAAAAACGACGATTGTTCGTGGACGTTTCTAGATGCCCAATTGATAACAAGTGCTTCACGTCGCATGAGATTGAGTAGGAAGGAAATAAAGACATAAGCCTCAAAGGAATCAAATCACACGAAGAGGAATCAAGAAGAGAAGTGCTCCTAACAGCCCTGTAGCCTCTCGAAGATAAGTATAGACGTCTCTGTACCGATACGCAAGACTTTACTAGACTTGCTCATGAATCGTGAGACCTAAGTGAACCTAACACTTTGATACCAAGCTGTCACGACCCAAAATCCACTAAAGGTCGTGATGGCACCTAACGCCGCCGTTAGGCAAGCCAACAGTGATTGTTCAACTTAATTACTCATTTTATTACTTTTGAAATCATAATTTTCATTAATTAAATAATATGAAATAGAATTTACTAGGTAAAAGGATAATAATCATGTGAACTACCATACTAAACATCCAGTAGAAACCCCCAAAACCCGATGTCACAAGTGCATTAGTACCAACTAGAAAATATAATAAAATACAACATATGTCAAGAATACAAGTTAGACAGGAAAACATAAATAACGCTGATGGAGACTCTGTATACTGCAGATCGTAATATAAAATGCAGCTCACCATAAAGTCCCCGCAATAGCTACGCCTCTACGCCCGAAAGACCACCAGAAATGTAAACCTGCACAATAGGTGCAGAAGTGTAGTATGAGTATGTAAATCGATGCATACCCAGTAATTATCTAGCCTAACCCCGGAGAAGTAGTGACGAGGGGTCGACATCGACACTTACTAGTGGTCCAATAAATCAAATGCAGTAGGAAGTAAACAGATGTGAGGCAGAGTAAACAAACGAAGTAAATAAGTATGGATACGTGGTACAATCCTCCTCTCAACAATAAACTCAAGCTCTCAATTAGCAGTTACCTCCTCAACCGGAGTGTATATATAATGGACCTCATTAGATAGGTGGGCTTTATTCAAATCAGGAAAACTCACAGATACACTAGCTTCTTGTCAAATATGATGCATGATTCCATAAGAGTATTTTATAGAAATGATGAGGCCTACAGCCCGATCCCATCATATTGTGTGCACTGTCGAGGGTCGAACGACACGAACCATTGATGCATCTATTATACTGCCTAGACGAACGACCCTCTCCCGTGAGAGTGTGGTACATGATCCTGCCAAGGCGAACGGCCCGATCCCATTAGAATAAGAAGCTTTAACGGGTCCTTGATCCCACTCATGAATAAACGTGTGAGTTATATATTTTTAAGGAAAACCTTTCAATGAAAAAGCATAGCGCGGGAGAAATTCGTAAGAGTTTTACAATTATTCCACAGCTAATCATGAAGATCGTCAAATCTCTAAAATAGCAAGTCTATCACTCTACACAAGTCTAGTCCTAAGTTGTAACGTAAAACAAAGGAATTTAATAGGCCAAGTACAACTCAAATAGTACAGTTATAGCATGGCGGGAACCTATGTCTACCCGGACATAACATGAATTTAGCTACGTACGGACTCTCGTCACCTCGTACGTACGTAGCTCCCGCAACAAGTAGTACATCTCAAATACATCACCTAGGAGTAGTTTCCCCCTCACAGGGTTAGACATGAGACTTACCTTGCTCCGAAGTTCCATAACCGGCTCTAACACTACTCTAACACCTCAAACCGATGTCAAACATCTCGAAACTAGTCAAACATCGTGTAAATCAATCAAAATATACTCCAATGCTTAATTTAACAAATTATAACAATTCCTAACTCTGTTCGAAAAGTCAATAAGGTCAACCCTCGGGCCCACGTGCCCGAATTCTAAAATATTTTTGAAGATAAACTTTACCCATAATACCACAAAATCAAATATATAATTTATACCAATTATGTGGTAAACAAATAAAAAAAATACCAATTTCTAAGTTTCTCTCAAAATTTAATAATTTTTACAAATTTCCATGTTTAAATCCACATATAATCCATGTATTTCACTAACATTATCTGGGAATTACTTACCTTGCAATGGTTGATGAAAATCTCCCCTTGACGTTGTCCAAAAATCGCCCAAGTCAAGAGAGAGTGAGAGAAAATGGGCCAAATCCCGTATAAAAATCAAGTCTACCTAGCGCTGCCTCGCATCTGCGGTCTCCTGATCGCTTCTGCGACAGCCGCTTCTGCGGCTTCAATCTCGCACCTATAAGAACCCAGGCCAGGTCGCCGGCCGCATCTGCGGTGCCTGTTGTGCATCTTCGCTCCCGCTTCCGCGTTGCCCCCTCCGCAGGTGCAGTTCCGCTTCAATTTATGTGAACTCATTTCCTTTTTAGTCCGTGTCAAAAAGAATGACTCCTTTTCTTATTTGGAAAAACTTTATCTTTATGCAATGATTTATAGCCACACAAAATATATGTGCTTCATTTTACACCACAAATTCAAAAGTCCTCTCTTTTTTCTTAAATTTCGTGCCTAGTCAAACGGGTTCACATAAATTGAAACGAATGGAGTATATTGGTATTATATTAATTAGTTGTCACCAGTATTTTAAAAGGTGTTGGCGTAAGGTGAAGCGTTTTACATATGCCTCAGCANATATATATATATATATATATAGATGTGCTTCATCCCCATCCCCACAAAAAACTAGTCAAAATAATTTATTATACGCTACTTATAGAAGCACAAGTAACTTGAGTCGAAAAGAATAAAGTTTTCTACATTGAGGAACAAAAAAGATGATTAACTTACAATTTGAACTTTGAACTTGCTGCTACGAAGAAAAATGGAGTTCTATTTGTATTTGTAAAAAAAAACTGAATATTAGTTGCTTTTAGGAGATATTAGCAAACTAACGGACAAGATAAAGAATTGGAAAAGACTATCAATCAGGCTTCAATCAATAAAAAAGGTCTTGACTTTTAAATTTAATACATTTCAGTTCCTTTTTAAAACTTTTAAATAATTACCGAGATGATTTTTGACAACTTGGATATTATATGAAGGATTTATCCAATAAATTTTATTTTAATTTGAAAAAATCTCTTGGGATTACGCCTCATTAAAAAAATGCGTCTCAAACGTCCGGGCATATGCCCCGAACGTCCGGGCGAACATACGTCCCAAATTATTGGGCTTACACCTCTTGAGACTTTCGGCCCACGCCATTACCTCAGAGCGTTTTTGATGCGCCTCGCCCCAGAGCTTACTTCGAAAACAATTTTTAAAACACTGATTGTCACAGCCCTGTAGTTAAAGCCATTCACGACAAATGGGAGAGGGGTCATATTGGGGACATAATAACGTAGAGACCAAGCATTGTCTTGGTCATTTCTTTGACCGGTGAAAAGGCAGCAACACTGGTTGCCTCTCCATCTCCTGTTTGGATAAGTTTCGCGGATCCTAGAATCACTTTTCTTTTATTTAAAAAAATATTGTTTTTTAAAGTTGAAGTATTTTAAAAGAAAAATAAGTGCATTTGAGGAGAAGCAGAAGTATTTTTGGAGAAATAGAAAAAATAATTTTCGTACTTTTTTGAAAATTAATTTTGAAAAAAATATACATAAAAATAATTTTTAAAAATTTGGCCAAACACTAATTGGTGGTCAAAAATACTTTATAACCCAAACTGTTTGTTAAGTATTTTGCGGGGAAAGCACTTGGAAAATACACTTAGACTATAAGCATTTTGCGGTGAAGCACAAGCTGAAGAATAAGCTGTTCCTAGTCTCAAAGGAACGCAATAGATTAAATTGGCAAAAATCTCAAGAAATCTCAAGATTAAAGAGAAAATTTCTAGAGTTACACAAGAGAGGTAATTTTACTACTCCGATTTAAGTTAAAGTACTCAAATATGATTGTGGAGTATGTCTTAAAGTGGAATTTGTGATGTAAACATGGTAACCAAGTAACCCTAAAAGTGGGTCTTGTGAAAGAGATGATGAATAGTACCTAGGGCTAGGGAGTAATTTGGGTTATTGTTCCAATAGCTCTAGTTAATTGGTTATAAATACCTCGTGTCATTTCTGATCATGTCTAACATGTTGTGCCCGCACATTCATCTCAACATCCTCATCTCTGCTGCCTTCATCTTCTGGACATTGGACGGCCAATGGAAAGGTAGAGGTAGGACAAAGAAGAGGTGGGGAGAGGTGATTAGGCAAGACATGGCGCCGTTTCAGTTGACCGAGGATATGACCCTTAATAGGAAGATATGGAGGTCGAGAATTAGGGTAGTAGAGTAGGTAGTCTAGAGTGTTATAACAGTAGTATTGGCACGTAGTCTCGCTTTCTGTTGGTAGTAAGGTTTTTATGATTAGTCGTTGTTTTCTTTCATTGTTGATCACCTTACTATATTGTTGGTAGTAGGGTTTTTATGACTAGTCGTTGTTCTCTTTCATTGTTGATCACCTTACTATCTTGTTATTTTTATTCTGCTTTTATATGGCTTTTTGGTACTGTTCCTTCTTGTCTATATTTTCATTAATGTGGTGCTTATGCTTTACTGAGCCGAGGGTCTATTTGAAACAACCTCTCTATCCTCACAAGCTAGGGGTAAGCTCTGCGTACACACTACTCTCCCCAAACTCCATGGTGTGAGATAATATTGGGTATGTTATTATTATTGTTGTGTGGGTGATAAAATGAACTCTATTATGGTAGTATTCAGAATTATGAGAATTGGATGGCCTTGAGCCTATTGCGACCCCTAAATGGGTTATGATGAAATTGTTTGAGTACTAATTGACGGAATCCGATATGGAATATTGTAGATTAATATAACTTGCGCATGTTGAGCTTGTTGGACTTATTTGGAAGGCAAAGACGAGGTAAGTTAAGATGTACCTTCCCTTAAGAATTATTTGATGAATTCCATGAATTCTAACATTCGCTAAAGTTATTTTAAATGTTGGTTTGGGTTCGTTGGAGCGATCGAAGCTTACCATTAATGCTTTAACATTATGAGACGTCTTATACTATCTTATAGTATCGTATATGCATAAATTGTATTGTTGGTCCTTTATTGACTTGTATTGAATGATAGCACTTTATACCATATTTTTCTACTTGATTTAAATCAAATAGTTATCGCAAATATTGAAACTCATTATCTTGTGATTTTACAGCTTATCGAGATGTTTTTTTAAAAATCGTTTTGTCAAAGTCAAAGAAACTTTATCAAAGTATAGAATTGAGCTATGGACCGTGAGAGCCAATTATCGAAAATGTTTATAGGACCTACGGGTTATACAATTTAAAAAAAATATTATTTGGGAGGACCATAGTTATTATTGCTTATAGACCACACATTTCAGTGTTTACCATATATTGTCCAACGAGACACCTTACTGTGCTAGCACTATCGTCAAAAGCCCATAGCAATGGGTGAGGCGGCCTCGTGACCAAGCGATGGTTACTATCGTCAATATCTTTCAGGTGAGACACCCAGGTTGATCGGGGGATGGTCAACATACATATATCGATTATTGTTATAGTTATAACTATTGGAACTCTCTATTGAAAGATTTGCAGCCTATTGAAAGATTACAACCTATTAAAAGATTTACATCCTATTGAAAGATTACAGCATATTAAAAGATTTACATCCTATTGAAAGATTACAACCCATTGAAAGAATTATATCCTATTGAATGATCTACAGTCTATTCAAAGGTTTACAGTCTACTGAAAGATTTGCTCTATTGAAAGAGTTATAGTTTATTAAATATTTCTTTTCATTATTGATTTTATGAAATGTCATACTTATTGTACTTCATGTATTTTACGTATCCCTAAAGTATCGTTCCAACCTTATCGGAACAAGTGAATGATACTTACGGGGTACGATTTCTATGAAATTGTGCTCAGCCTCCCATGTGGGCAACTTATTTGATGTTTCAGATATTGTGACATTAGAGTTGACGACACATGCTAGGCGTCTTCTCCTTTCTCTGCTATACTTGGTAAGCCCCGCTTATTTTGTCAGTGGGTATATGTCTAGAGATTTTATTATGTTCAGTCATTCTATAGTGGTTCCAATTACATTGTGGGGAGGTCTAGTCATATGGATGATGTTTATACTTTTTTAGAACTCTCGTGTTTATTCCGCACCTATGTATCTTGGCCAAAGGCCTACTTATATTTTTTTAAAAAGACATTTAATTAAATAATTCAAGGCGATATTTTAAATGTTTAAGTGATACTTCAAACCATGAAATAATCAAGATATGTTCAAGTGGTTCGCTTGGTGTAAGTTGATGGCACTGGGTGCTGGTTGCCCTAGTCTTTTTGGGGCGTGACAAAAACTTATAGACGATGAGTGAAACAGTACCTGTATAGACCCCTTAACTGCTGATGTAGAATATTATATATCTCTATCAATTATGTAGCATATGAGATTTTATTTCATTAGCGTGTCTCCAATTCGTGTGCAAGGACATTGCAAGTATCTGAATTACAAGTTTTCTGATATTGCCAAAGCAAGAATATAGTTTGTTAAAACAATAAATGATTCACTAATGTTGACCGAAATCATGACATTACTTTTAGCGTTACTTCCTGTCACGATACGATTGTTGCTTGTTCTTCTATAGGAAAAATCAGGTCCAATGATTGATTTGCTTAATCAGTTAAGGACCTTCTTAGTGTGAAATATAATGCAGGAGCAATGAATTTGGAATGGCCAAAAATTGGAAATTTCTTCAATGAATCACAGCCTGTACTATAGAAATATTATAGAGGAAGTAATCAATCTTTGATGAAAATAGTATTTTAGTACAGTCTGCAGTAGAGGAATTAAGGATAAGACATATGAGGGTTGAAGAAATGCTGAATATAATGCTACTGTCGGATTTCAGAAAAGTTGATCATTCAAGTACCTATTAAAAACCAAATCTTTCTTGAAGTGGAAATAATTTCTTCCTTTTCTGCAGAATGTAAGATTAATGAATTCTTAGGTAAAGAAACATAAAACAGATTCTAATACACAAGCAAATCAACATGTCAATAGGTGGACCAATCTATTTCTTAGACACATCCAGGTTTTAATTATCATTAAGAACATACTTTGATCATAGACAATAAGCAGAAATCATTTTTATCCGTGCCTTGATTTAAACATCATTATCAACTGTCTAAAAAATATGCCTAACTGAATCGTTATTGACCAAGAGTCTGGAAATCCTTCCTTTCTCTTATTGTCACTGACACGAATACACAATGCAGATATGGCTAAAGAACAGAATACAGTATCCTCTCATAACACTCGTTTTTTTCCTCTTCGTATTCTTCTCCATCTTATATAATGCAGAAGACCCTTTTTTCAATGGTGTTACATTTTCATCCAAGAAAGAACCTTTATTGAAATCTAGCCATAAGGAAAACCTCACCATCTCAGGAAATCCTCCAGGTGAGTGTCCAAAAACCTTTTGGGATCGTCAAAATTATATTTTTTTGTTCAAACTTTTTCCTTCATTCATTAGCAAGTTCTCTAGGGCTGGTTAATGGATTGTTACAATATAATATATTCTGCATTCTGTTGAAACTGAGGGTTAAAAATGCATAGTTCAATTTTCATGTTTTTCTTTAGCTGGCCTGATGGGATTTTCCTGTGAATATGTTTGATTTTTTTAATAGTGCCTTTGGATAAATCAAGTACCTGCCATTCTACTGTTAAGTATAGTGGAAGGAGAGCTAAATGGGGTAGCCGTGTACTGGGGTCCGGAGGCCGGAGAGAACTATTGGAGACGTGTGATTACACTTCTGGAAAATGGGACTTTGATAACATTTCACATCCACTGTATAACGAATCTGATTGTCCATATATGTCAGATCAAGTAGCTTGCCAAAAATATGGAAGGTCTGATCTGGATTACCAGTATTGGAGATGGCAGCCTCACAACTGCAATTTAAAGAGGTATCTTTTGTTCTTTCTTTTCGTCTCTTGTTCGGACTTACCAACAATTTTGAGATTGAGACGTAATTGTTGTTATTACATCTTCTACGGTCTAGAGCTACTTATTCTTGTACCTTGTTATGCAGTGTCAAGTTTCTTGTTGATCTTATTAATCAATAGTTGAAAGCAGTTCAGTAAAAAAAAAAAAATCTAAAATCTTAACTACGAGAGTGGTTCGAGGTTTCCCCTTTATATTTTAGACCATCTTGTCTTCTTTGTATTTGCTATGTATGACTTCTTTTCTTTCATCAAAATCGTCTCAAAATTGTTGTAATTCTTGTTACCATTGTTGACTTGTTAATGTACGGTATATAGGTGGAATTCGACTGAACTGTGGGAGAAATTAAGAGGGAAAAGACTAATGTTTGTAGGCGATTCACTGAATAGAGGACAATGGTTATCGATGGTGTGTCTAATGCAATCTGTTATTCCGGTTGAGAAGCAGTTCATGACACAACAAGCTCACCTTACAAGTTTTAGAGCAGAGGTCAAGTGAACTTAAAACAGTATATTGAAATATAGCCTGTTGATATTAAACTTTAAATGATGATTTCGCGTTTGTTTCATAATAAAGAAAGTTTAACACCTGGTGCCAAATTGAAGTGTTTTTGTGTTGATTACAGGAATACAATGCAAGCATAGAGTTCCTTTGGGCGCCATTTCTTGTCGAATCAAATTCTGATGAGCCAATGGGTCACAGATTGCCTGAGAAAATACTGCGTCCTGACTCAAATCTTAGGCATTCATCGCATTGGATTCATGCTGATATATTGGTGTTCAATTCATATCTTTGGTGGAGAAAGGGCTCTGTTAAGCTATTGTAAGTGTGAAAAGTAGGTCATGGCTTCTTCAGATATGCAAATTAGATGAGTCAAAGATATGCAAAGAACAAGTAGTTGACAACTTAGGCAATTAATATATGAAAACTAAAATAGATTTGTCAAAGAAAAAGGATTTGCTATCTAATTAGTTCCATTCCATTAGATGGAGCACAGAAGAAAATGGAGTTTGCGAAGAAATTGATGGATTGAGAGGCATGGAGTTGGCCATGGACGCCTGGGCCAATTGGGTAGAATCCAATGTTGATCCGATGAAGAAGAAGGTCTTTTTCGTCACGATGTCACCTACACATTTATTGTAAGTGAGGACCAACTTTTATATTGCTGAATGTTTATTTATGCATGTATCTATACTGGTCTAAATCAGGAACTTTGATGTATGAAGTTGTTCATTTGAAGTTCTATAAGTTTTACTTTGGTGCCTGCTAAGGTTTGTTAAGTCGGATTGCCAAATGCCTAAACGTTGGTGATGAACTAATAACACCTCAAAACTAGTTTACAGGAAATATAGAGTTCTCCATTTCATTGCCAATGTACAGTTATTTATGAGTCCGCTCCACAAATCTTACTAGAACTGCTTGTTTTTTCTTAGAGAAGTCAGATACACAGTAAGTAGAGGAAAAGAATTCTTAATTGTTGGTAGAAACTCAAAGCAGCTGATTCTGTACAGTAGTGTGTGCTGCAATAAGGGGTCCGACGTCATTATGCTAAGAGAGGAAAATTGCTTTATTGTAAGTTAGCGAATTGATCCATTACAGAAACAGAACTTCATAAGTTCTGCTAATGTATAGATATTTATGTTGGTTCATACATATCCAACCCAACCATCTCATAGTTTGAGTTCAAGTTTCCAATTCATTTGAAACAAAAATTTCAGAATTTTCAGTTTCCGATGAAAATCCAAAATTGAAGGACTTCTTGGTTAGCTTTAGTGCTTGTTCTTTTTTGTTTGGTTGTTGTTATTGTTGTTTTATCTTCTTTACAGAAAGAAATTGTGCTACGTCATTTTGCTTCTGTGTATGTGTATGCAGGAAACAAGAATGTGTATGAAGGACTTCTTGGTTAGCTTTAGTGCTTGTTCTTTTTTGTTTGGTTGTTGTTATTGTTGTTTTATCTTCTTTCCAGAAAGAAATTGTGCTACGTCATTTTGCTTCTGTGTATGTGTATGCAGGAAACAAGAATGGGAACCAGGAAAAAGAGGAAACTGTTACGGCGAGAAGCTCCTCATAAAGAACCAAACCAGGGAAACTAACGTCGACATGCCCACAACGCTTATGGTGGAAAAAGTACTAGCTAGGTTGAGCTCAAAGGTCTCCGTTCTCAACATCACTCGCCTTACAGCATACAGGAAAGATGGCCACCCTAGCATTTATCGAAAATTTTATGGTATACTCTCCCCCGAGGAATTAGCAAACCCTGCAAGTTACTCGGATTGCATCCACTGGTGCTTGCCAGGGGTGTCTGATGTATGGAATGAGCTGTTATTTCAGTTTTTCTGACACGGAGGGTTAGCCCGATTAAGGATATAAAGGCACTCACTACTATTTTGTGGCAGTTGGTGCAAATTTACTGAGTGTGACCGGTAATACTACATACGTCTGTGACAGGACTTTTTCTAACTGATCCTACAACTATCAAAGTTTATGCATAGAGCACAATGTACATCTGAAATGATTTTTGTTGTTCATAATGATTAAAAATTAGTGAGGGCACCAATTGCCCAATGAAGAGTGTTTTACTTATTTCATGTTTCACTTCAGTAGTTCTGCTCATTACTAGTAATTTTGATTGAAAATTTGAACCAGCAGCTGGCCATATGTGGCTTGGTCAGTCAGTTTTATTCTCCCTTGGCTTTTTAAAATGGAAGAATTACGTCCCTTGTTACTTGGCCCAACAACCTAACTGAAAATGGCCCAGGTTCGAAGCTCTTACCGTGTTTGGCCCAGGTTGTACATAACCTGAAAAAATATTTTCATCATTTAGACTAACCTTGAAGACGTAGTTCCTCCGGTCCAAAGCCCACCTATGCTTCTTGATATTTTCTCGTATGCGTATTCTGCCTTATCATATAAGCGTACTTCAACTCCAAGTGTGAAACTCGATCTTTGAACAAGATTTGAAGTTGTCAATTACGAATGTCCCTCATCCTTGCTACTAGATTTAGTACTCTCTTCCTTCGAGTGTATATAATCATAAGACCTCCATCATTGGAGCTAAAGTTTTTCAAATCTAAAATTTGATTGATTAAAAAAAAACTTCATTGAAGGTTGAAGCTTTAAGTTTGAACCATATATGAGATTTTGAGTTTGAAAGCAAACTTAGATCTAAGATATGAGATTAATTTTAAAAAGAGTATTATTGAGTTTGCTTGGAAATATCATTGGGTGTTGTTCCAATCCATTGGAAACATCAAGAGGAGTTCAAAACTTAAACTCGAAGTGATTTGGAGCAGATTTGAGCTAAATTTAAGTCAAATTTCAGAAGAAGAAGAAGAAGAAGAAGAAGAAGAGAAGAAGATCCAGTGGAGTTCCATTGATAGGATTCATTTGTATAACAATGTATAATATTATATAATAATAAATATGGGTATATAAACATCTCTTATACACTATTATACCAAGCTTATACATTATTTACATGTATTTGGTGGATTACTAGCTTCTTCTTCTTTTTCTACAATGATTTTAGAATTAAAATTGAGGTGTAATGGTGGCTAAAAGGTATTTTCTTCGTAAACATATATTGTTGTTGTTTANTATATATTTATAAGTGTGTATAATTTTGTAAAATTATATATTAGTGTATAAGAATGTACAAAGGCGAAATTAAATTTTTTTGTGTTTTCTTACCTTTTCTCAAGCTAGACAACCTCCTTTACTTGTTTTTAACTCATTCTCTGTTTTGGGTTAAATTCTATTAATGGCACCATTGAAGAAGAAAAATAAAGAACTAAAATCGAGCAATGATGTGTGTATGAGAAGGAATTACCATATGTTCTACCATTGACAAAGAAAAAAAGCTGCCAAATTTATTTGTATTTGTTTGTTTATATTTGAATGTGTATTTTACTCATTGTTTAATCGACCTGTTCTACTTTTATATACATATACTATATGTATAGTAAATATTTAATTGAAACCCAGCAAATTCTCTGCCACTAACAAAGGGAAAAACGCTACCAGTTCTTTTTTTTTTTCCTTTCTCTTTTTATATTTAAATATATTTTTATTAATTATCTCATAAAGTTAATAGTAAAACATTGATTTTGGTAGGAGATAAGTACGCTTTCCTCAAAAATAGAAATGTTGAATAGCATTGACGTAAAAAATGCTGGTTGTGTGAAAAAATGCTAGGTTTTTTGGATTAGGCCTATTGTCTTTGGGCTATAGATTTTGTCACGACCCGAAATTTCCCACAGACAGGACCGTGATAGCGCCTAACATTTCACTTGCTAGGCAAGCCAATGTTAGAAAACTCGTTAAACCAATTCCTTATTTCCATTCAGTAAATAACCATAATTAACTAAGATAAAATATATTAAGTGCGAAATATCATAAAACTGTATTAATTACTACCACCCGGATCTGGAGTTACATACACGAGCATTCTAGAATTTGCTACAAGTAATAGTCTGAAAGAAATACAACTGTCTGACTGAAAAAAACAGTAGAACAGAAAAGATAGACGGGGACTTCAAGGTCTGTGAACGCCGACAGATCTACCTTGAGTCTCCGGGCAGCGGACCAATAGCAAAATCTCGATCAACCCGAGCTGGTNCAAAATCTGCACAGAAAGTGCAGAGTGCAGTATCAGTACAACCGACCCCATGTACTGGTAAGTGTCGAGCCTAACCTCGACGAAGTAGTGACGAGGCTAAGGTAAGGCACATACAAATCAACATGTATAATTTAACAGTGTATATACAAATAACATAAATGAAGAACTAAATAGAAAATATCGGGAGGGGACATATTGAGGGGAATACAAGATAAAGAATTACAACAGAATGATCACCGGAGCAGTCAATATACCATGAATCAACAGGAATAGTGAATACAGTAAGGAAAAATGCACGGCATCACCATTCGTGCTTTTACTCTCAACCTCACCATAAAATAAATAAAAACGGCACGACATCACCCTTCGTGCATTAACTCTCATATCATGGCACAGCATCACCCTTCGTGCATTAATACTCACAATATGGCACGGCATCACCCTTCATGCATTAACACTCACAATATGGCACGACATCACCCTTCGTGCATTAACACTCATAATATGGCACGGCATCACCCTTCGTGCATTAACACTCTCCCTTACCATAATGCAATGCATAAATAATAACATGGAGATAGAATAACAAGTACAAACCTTACTTGAACATTTGGTTCCATAACATCAATCTCAACTTTGAAATAAAAACTCAATTATCACCAGAAAATTCGTAAGCATGATAAGAACGATAAATTAAACAACACTAGTATAACACATAGCAATTAGGCATAGGAATGAGACGATATAACAAAAACAGAGAAACATGGAAAACGGGTAAATTGGCGGTGCATAAGTACTCGTCACCTCACATATACGCCGCTCACATGAATTTCACTTAGTAAGTAATCTAAGGTTCCTAATTCCCTCAAGTCAGGGTTAGACACAATACTTACCTCACTCCGAAGGTCACTTAATTCTCAATCACAGCTTTTTCTTTGGAATTCACCTCCAAATCACTCGTATCTATTCAAAAATGACTCAATAATATCAAATTTTGCTAAAGGAATCAATTACATTGCATAAATTGAGATTTCCTAAATTTTCCTCCAAAAAGTCAAAAATCGACCCCGGGCCCGCTTGGTCAAAATTCGAGATTCGGACCAAATTCCATTTACTCATTCACCCACGAGCCCGAATATGTAATTAGTTTTGAAATCTGGCCTCAAATTGAGGTCTAAATCCCCAAATTCCCGAAATCCCTAGTTTCAACCCTAACCCCTAATTCTACCATGAAAACTCTAGATTTTAGGTTGAAAATTCAAGAAATGTAATGGGTAATTGAAAGAAAATGGTATAGAATCACTTACCAACAATTTGGGGAGGAAATAACTCTTGAAAAATGGCCTCTCACCGTTTGGTTTTTGAGAAAAATGAGTTTTTTTGCTAAAATCCCGTTTTTGGGTTCTGTTAAGCGCTGGGCGACAGTGTTCATCGCGTTCGCGAGAGCACTGTCGCATTCGCGAAGTGTATGGGCTGCCAAGCCTTCGCATTCGCGAGACAGTGCTCGCGTTCGCGTAGGCTACCCTTCCCTGGTCTTCGCGTTCGCGAGTCGTTGTTCGCGTTCGCGATGAAGAAAAAGTTGTCTGCCCCTCCCTAGTGCCTAACACTACGCGTTCACGATGGGCTTGTCGTGTTCGCGAAGAGTAACGCCCCCATCGCTTCGCGTTCGCGAAGAAGAAATCCTCAGCTGCCCAGTTTACTTTTCGCGTTCGCGGGAGTACCTTCGCGAACGCGAAGAAGGACATGCCACAACATAGACTCTGCAGAAAAATCAGATTTCCAAAGTCCAAAACATCCTGTGGCCTATCCGAAACTCACCCGAGCCCTCGAGGCCACACCAGTCTAAAAATATCATACAAACTTGCTCATGTGATCAAATCACCAAAATAATACCTAGAACTACGAATTTAGCACCAAATCAGTTGAGACTCTCAAGAACATTTTAAAATTACTATTTTCTCAACTAGACGTCCGAATCACGTCAAATCAACTCCATTTCTCATCAAATTTCACAGACAGGTCTTAAATATCATAATGAACCTGTACCGGACTCCGGAACCAAAATACGGACCCGGTACTAACAATGCCAAACATCAATCAATTCTTAAAAATAATTAATTTTTAAACTTTAAATTTTTATCAAAAATTCATAACTTGAGCTAGGGACCTCCGAATTCGATTCCGGGCATGCGCCCAGGTCCCATAATTCGATACGGACCCACCAAGACCATCAAAACATGGATCTGGGCAAATTTACCAAAAATGTTGACCGAAGTCAACTAAAATCAACTTTTAAGGCAAAAATTCTTATTTTTATTAGTTTTCAACATAAAAGCTTTCCAGAAAACTGCCCGGACTGCGCACGTAAATCGAGGAGGATAAAAATGATATTTTTAAGGCTTAAGAGCGCAGATTTGAGTTCTAAAACATAAGATGACCTTTTGGGTCATCACAGTCTCCACCTTTAAAACAATCGTTCGTCCTCGAACGGACATAGAAAAGTACACGGGCTGGTGAAAAGGTAGGGATATCTACTCCGTATATCGGGCTCAGACTCCCAAGTAGCTACCTCAATTGGCTGACCTCTCAATTGCACTCGAACTGAAGGGTAACTCTTTGATCTCAACTGGCAAACTTGCCGGGCTAGAATTTCCACCGGCTCCTCCTCGTAAGTCAATTCCTTATCCAACTAGACAGTGCTGAAATCTAACACATGGGACGGATCGCCGTGATACTTTTGAAGCATGAACACATGGAATACCGGATGAACATCTGCTAAACTGGGTGGCAACGCAAGCCTGTAAGCCACCTCACCCACTCTCTCTAGAATCTCAAAAGGTCCGAATATACCTAGGGCTCAACTTGTCCTTCTTCCCAACTCTCATAACACCCTTCATGTGCGATACCCGAAGCAATATTCTTTCTCCAACCATGAATGCAATATCACGAACTTTATGGTCGGCATAGCTC